TCTGGAACTTACTCCCACTGCACATGCATAGCATCAAAGTACCATCCACTTTCAAGCAGCAGCTCAAGTCTCTTACCTGTCCAGGCTCTCACCTGTACACACTCACAACTGTCCAGGCTGGCATATGAGGGACTTTGAGCTCTGGCTCAGTGGCTCCGAGTTATCAATCGAACTGTGTGTCTGATTTGTGAAATATGCATGCGTTACAAATTGTGTCTACTATTATGTTTGTGTGTATCTATGTATCTACCATGTGCGATGACGGCCTTATTAAGTGTTAAAACGCTATGTGGAGGATCTTTGTCTATTTATGATGGTGCATGTCTGTATAGGGAGAGAAATTGTACGTGATTGTGCACGTGTTTCTTTGTTTGGATGTGTTTGTGTTTGTGAGATTATGTGGCTGTGTGCTTGTGTGTCTTGTCTTTGTAGCATGGTGGTTAGCGCGCTGCGCTACTTCTCCAGCGACCCAAGTTCGATTCCTGCTCACGGCCAACACCAGTGACGATTATCTGAACTGGACCTAGGCCTCCCCTAGGTCGCCTCAGCCTTAAATGAGTACCTGGCACTGTGTATAAATATCGTCACTCTGGAGACAGAGTGTGCCGTGCCGGCTTTCATCGGTGCTCACGAACAGCACTTACTCCTAAAGTGTGTTAAAGTCTATACGGGTGATCTTTGTCTTTGTTAGTGAGAGCACACGTGTGGACATGAGTCATGGTGGATTTAAGGGTGGTCTGGATCACAACTAAGTTCTCTCGGAACTTACGCGATTTCTTTCACGTAAGTCCCTTAGGGACTTGGAATTCGCACAAGTCTTAGCTTGCACAATTTCTAAAATTCTGTAGGTCATTCTGTACTCAGACTATAGGTTCATAGCTAGCCTCCAATGAATATAAATAAACAAAGAAATATCAAATCATATTTGGACAATGGCCCTTCTTTGATACTGCAATTGCAATCCCCGAATTTTTAAGTTAGCCAAAATGCTCCCTATTGCTATGTCCAGAAAATATGTCTGTCCATACGTCTGTCCACACACCGACCCAGGACACTTCCCACGTTCTAATGACAACCACAACATCCAAAAACCTAGACCAATCACTACCAAATTTACCCCACAGCTTACCAATGTCGAAAAATGTTTAGTTTTAGAGCAACTTTGGCAACGAGATATTGAGCATCAGCACAATGAGCGCATGTCTTTGTTCGTGTGTCTGCGTGCGTTTCGGCCCTCGCGCATAATGTTTGCGTCCATTTTTATGCACGTCTCGTGTTTGAGCGAACATGTTGCTTTTGTGGGGTCGAAGCCAATCCAATCATCAAGAGACTGGGTCTCGAGCTTGTTTTATGTTAACCCTGTAAAGTAATAATAATATACTACATTCACTTTTCCAGAAGTATTTTAGTCTCCATTTCCCTTAAGCGAGTTAGTGGGAGGCTTTTGACAAGAATGACAGTTGGCTATATTTAAAAAAAAACTGTGGCAAATGCATTAAACGAATGAACGCTTTTACCATTCAATGGTGCTTTGCAACAATACCCTGCTGACCGCATTTCTACCTTCACCTTAACCAATGGGCTGAATTGCCTTCTTATAAACTGCAAAACACAAAACCTTACACCCACTGACTCACCGACCGACTGACCACCAGTAATGCATGCCAGCGGAGTGCAGTGGTTGGCTGGTTCTGGAGTGGAGGCTTAAAGTGTCAAGTTAGGAGTGATTGGCACTCTTATCCATGGGAAGCTTTGTTCCACGAGATTGAAAAAGGGGGGGGGGGGGTGTGAAGCTCAGCATTTTATTAATGCTTTACAAAAGAAGCAACGGAGCCAAAACAATATTGCTATCTGTAAAGTGTCTGTTTAAGCCCTTTGTCAATAACAATCCCTGCTTCCCCATATCATGTTCGTTTGTGATTATAGTCTAAACTTATTGTGAGAAAAACATTTTTTAATGTTATTTTTCAGCAATTTTTATATTAAGTCAATGAAATATTCGGATCACGTTGATGTACTTTTTTATATTCGAGTGTATATGGCATCTAGTAGCGGAAGTATGATGTAGTGTTTAGTAATTTAACGTATTTTACGAAGAAACAAACACCATTTATTTAAAAAAATGTGGATGAGTGTGCAAGAGTGTCTTTTGGTGCGTACAAGTGAGTGTGTATTCGGTACTTATATAAATGTTTATTGGTATTAATTGGTGTGTATGAGTGTGTGAGAATTGGCAGTGTCGCAGTTAGCGCTAAGAAACCCGGCGACCCGAGTTCGATTCCCGCTCACGGCCGAACATCGATGACAAATATCTGAACTGGTCTTGGACCTCCCCTAGGTCGACTCAGTCTCAAATGAGTACCCGCTGCGGTGTGTAAACATCGCCACTGGGGAGACAAAGGCGGTCGGGCGTGGTGCTCGCCACCCACCCCCATGCGTACCGTGCTGGCCTTCAAAGGTGCTCGTTAGCAGCATTTGCTCCAACAGCCTGTGATGGCTATACGGGGGGTCTTTGTCGTTGTATGAGTGTGTATTCGTGTAGGTGTCTATAGTGACACGAGAAATGATGGGTTCTAATTTCGGTGAGCGCTTGACCCCATATTACTTGGATAACTTTTGTTTGCGATTATTTAAATAGACCAGTTATTACAATATTTAAAACTACATATACGTGAAGAATACGCAAATTGGACGTAAAATTAAATTACATGTGCCAGTTTGATAGATTGTATCCATTCAATAATACAATTGGATCGATAAAGATTACAGGAGGCCTTTATCCAACATTAGATTGACAAAAGTCTGCACATGAAGTTAAAGTAAACTTTTTTCAAGTGTTTATGAACAAAAAATCGAGTGACAAAAATTACTCATACACATGCTAATAACTCAAGGAAGTTAGGCTATAACAACATAACGTTGATGTAGAATATATCTATACGGCACTAATAATACTCATACATTAGTCAATCCACTGCTGGATGAAAGTTTCCCCCACGCCGTGTTCCTCGTGGGAGTTGTTTGAGCAAACTTATCCACGCTGGTCAGTAATTCCAGAACCGGTTCGGATATTACTCGCCACTGATGTTAGCCGTCAATCATGATTCGAACTCAGGTGATCGATTTTAGAGTTCGGCGCGCGCGCTCATCACTGCGCCGCCGCTCAATCCACTAACAATAATAGCACTGTATGTAATGACACGTTTCGGTGAATTATCTCTGCTGTAGCATTTAAAGAATGCGGAATACACATACGCCCTGAGTAAGGTGGGTGTCGTCGAGGTACAGTACAATGAATCGGTGCTAAGCTCTTAAATATATACTGCACTACATAAACAACCCGGTGGTGATCGTGAATTGGTAAAACATCGTCAATTAAATATTTTTAAAATGTCCAATTCCCTAACCTTAATACGCATGCCAACGCGTTAGAAACCACCTTTGATTATAATCTGCAAGTTCTAACGCCATCCGTATATCTTGTATCTCTACGATCTCTTCCATAGTCGCCACGGATTTAGTTTGTGAAGTAACCAACACAGGACAAAGCAGACCCTGTGTGGCGTTGACTATTGTTATTATTCAAATACGTTGACGCACACACAGAGAGACGCACACGCTCCTGACGATGTGTTAAAGGGCCAGGTATGACGATGTGTTAAAGGGCCAGGTAAAGGTGCAGCACTGAAATCGCTTGCTTTTTACGCCGCTGCTAGCGGAGAGGCAGTCCCACTTGAGGGAGCTCTACAGAGGCCCTCCAATTGAATATTACTCCCACCTCGTTTCAAGACGTCTTGAAACGAGGTGGGAGTAACCCCCCCCCCCCCAACACTTCATCCGTACTTAATGATCGACTAACTAAATGTGGTGTACCCATTTGTACTGCTAGGGGCCATCCATTTAGTAGGTACGCATAGAGGGGGGGGTTAACCCAAATGAGTTCGCTTGCGTATGGGGGGGGGTCTACTGACAATGTACGCATAGGAAACGGGGGGGGAGCGGGGAGTGAAGCCTCGACAATAATTTGTCTACATTTGCCTTCAAATGAGTTAGATAGTCCGACGGTGGACTATCTGTTTGCTTAAACACGTTAATATTATTAATCATTGATCGTTTCTGCGTGGATTAAATATCGGCCGTTCTATAGGATTCGGGGGGTGTGGGGGTTGCGTCAATCGTCTGTAAGCAGGTGGGGGGGGGGTGTAAAAGTCCGCGTGCGTAAAGGGAGGGGGGGGGTCAAGTTTTGACAGATTTTTGCGTTCCTACTTGATGGATGTCCCCCTATGTGTCTGCAACAACCAATGACAACCGCGACAACTTCCCGTGCATTCCGTGTAAGTCACGCGGACTTGCAGGTCAACTGAAGCCACACAACTTACGTACGTACGTGAAGTTCGTCTTTGGCAAACCATGAGTTTGAACTTGCGATCAGCTGTTCCTGATTGCGCAACCGCACGCACACTCACGCTTAAAGATTGGCACCCCCAGACACACAATAGTGACGCACTCGCCAACAAACAATAACAGCGGCACCTACACACTGGCAAACACACACACACACATTGCAGTCCGTGTCACAGAGCTTGCTTGGCAACTTAAAACAAGACGCATACACACTAGACCATGTGCCGAATCACACATGCAGTCATTATTGTGCATCTAGCTCACTCTGTCCAAATTAGCCAATCTTACCAGTCTTGTGAATCAAGCCCACCTAAGCGACTTTGCCCAACCTCAAGGCACCACCTTTCCAAGGAATGTCCATCAAACTCTCCGATGTCTCTAACCTTTGCTTGCCGTGCCTACCGTTGGCCACCTTGTCAATGGTGTCAATCAAAACCCACGGTGCCAAACTCTGTCCCTTTGTGCCCCAACTAATCCTAATCACACACACACACACACCGCGTCCATCGTACCCGCCTGTGTCCACCATATCCACCCTTGCCCATCATAGCCCACCGGACTTCAACAAACCCTCGCCCGTGCCCACCCGTGCCCACCTTGCAGCATGGCCTCCAGTTTCTTTCGATCCACGCGAAATCGCTCCTCGGCCGCGTCGGGGTCGAGGAACGCCGGATCTGTATCGAGCTCGGGGCTGCAAGCGCCCTCGGCCGCCTCGCTCTCGGGGGGACTCGCCGGGGAATCGCAACAGCGCTCGCCGTACACGTGGTTATGCTGCTGCTGCTGAAACTGCTGCTGTTGAAGTTGCTGCTGCTGTTGCTGCTCCGGACGGACCGGCATGGCAAGCGGAGGGGGTGAAGAACTGTCGAGCTCCGGCTGCTGCTGCTGTTGAGAGTGACTCTGCTGAGCGGCCATCGTCAGTTGGTATTGCACGGGGGACATGACCCTCCGTCCGGTCGCAACGCTTCGCTCAGAGCGCTGCAACCCCTACGGCTCACGCATTGCCTGCCAGCCTGTGGCGGCAGCACCGCGTCTTCTTCTCGTTCGCGAGCGGTCACTTCGCGGGGCACTTGACCGGCTACCCTCCCTCCGGCCACACCCACCGGCCTCATTAGCATGCAGCGCCACGCCCACCCCCTATTCGCTGCGGCCGCTGCCTCGCCGCGTAAATTAACATATGATTAATATATTAGGACGCGCCCCGCGCGTGTTGTTGTGGGTGGGCGTGGCGGATACGCCCACCCGCCCAATTAGCACATTAAGCGCACGCCCCCAGGTTCTCATTAACATTTTCTGACACGCCCACACGCGGGCGGCCCGCCTCCACGTGCGTTTGTTTACCTCGGGCCGCACGTCGCCGGCGTCTGCGCGCATCTTGACCCTGGGACACTCACTCGGTTGTGGGGCTCGACTCAGCAAAGTCACGGGTACTAGGAGGAAGTTGTTGTACTTGTTGCTGTACAACACCGTACGAACTGGTTTTCATATTCACACGGAGTCATTGTGTGTTTCATTGACCGAGTCGGGCTGATGCTGCTGGCTGCTGCAAGCAAGGAGTCATTGGTCCGGTTAAATTATTTGCAAAGGCAAGCAATCTGCAGCACTCGCTTGTATGAGAAAATTCCACCACGGGTCTTTTGTATAATCTGGTGACACTGATGACGTTTATATATCCCCGTGTTAGCCTCGTGTTGAAGAAATACCGGTTATTACTTGGTACGAGAGCGTTTCCATCTCGAATTCTTGTTATATATCGTAATCGCGTTTATATTTTAATATATTACGAAATTAACGTACTGCATTGCAGTTCGGTCCTGTATCAGTGACCGTGTCTTAATGGGGATGTAAGGTTGAGGAGGCAAAACCGATTATCGAGGCTAAACAGAATGTGTAACTATCACCCATTCCGTTCTAACTCTCTGCTCTGTACGTTATACGTACTGTATATGTTTAATTGTTATCATTTCAGATTTTTCTTTTTTACTTTCTATGCGAATTTAGAAGGAAGGGATAGTGCTGAGCCTTCCGCATAAGGGGGTGATAGGAGGCGATCATCCCTGAAAGCTGTGGAGGTGATTGCACTTGGCCACATTTTTCCATTGCCTTCACAACTGTTGTTGTTTGACTTGCATCCCACTGGGATTTTTTGCACGCAGCGTTGGTGTACGGTGCTTTTTTCAGGAATATTTTGCTGTTTTTTTTCATGGATTTTCTGTTTGCACAGTCACAAAGTCACTTTAAGATGTTTTTCTTGTTCGTGTTTTTGTTTTTTTGTTTGTTGTGGTTGCACCCGATTCAAGAGCCGAATGGCTCACAGGGCTATACCAAAATAAATCAACTGAAAAACTGAAACTGGGTCTATAAAACAACGATAACAATCATAACAGGAATACTATGCAACAATAGAGCCTGAACAATATGATGCTGTTGTCTGGGATCCTAAGGGTAGATGGCGCGGAGGGATGACTGACCAGGCATTTGATTGGAGGAATAAAACAATAAATGCGGCTAGAGCGCGTGCAAGCTTTGTCAAGATTCTTGTGCAATTCTAGATTTAAAGCTTTCGTGACTGCTAGGATCCATAATCTTTGGTTTTATTGGGTAAAGTCACGTAGGTAAAAAATAAAATAACAAAAATCACGACGTTTCGGCCACAACACAAGCGGCCTTCATCAGGTGAAGGGACGAGACTGTCTGGAGGACAGCGCTGTTAAGAAACGGGTGTGTCCCGATTGGCTAAAACAACAGTCAGCAATGGGCACGTGCAAATCATTACGCATTAGTTCAACCGTGGGGTAATTCCTTAATTGGCTGTAACCTTTCTATACACGCGCGCTGGTGATTCCTGACCATACACACTAATGTATGCAAGTCCCAGAGTCTTCCATCACCGTAGAGCGTAGTGTCTGTGTGTGGTTCGTATTAAACACAATGTTGCGTTGAATGGCCTGAGTAAACAGTCGTGGAGTCGGTTGTTTGACAGCGTCCGACGCTCTCTCGCAGTCCCCGTGAGGGCAAGGTGCTTCTGAAACCAAACATCGGGTCTGGCATCAATGGCATGGGAGCTGGTGGGATTTTACCATTTCGTCACTTGCGTAATGCTGTTACCCCCTGTTTGTCGGTTTTGTGGCAAGTGTTAAAGAAACCAAACTGAACGATAAGGATAGACACTGACATTCAGCGCACGCGTGTGTGTCTGTGTGTGCCTGTGTGTGCGTGTGTGTGCGCTGGTGTGTGCGTGTGTGCGCGCAAGCGTCGTGGTGACATCACCGCCACTTAGTGGCGAATGGCGGTTGTGTGCGCGGGTGTGCGCGTGCGTGCGCGCGCGGGTGCGGGCACGCGCGTGTGCGTGCGCGCGGCGCGAGAGTCGCGGAGGTGGCGATGCGGGTCCTGTAAGCCAGCCAGTGACAGCCACCGGTTGCAGAGGTCAGTCAGGGAGGTACATGATACAGTCATCTTGCTTCTCGTTCCCTGCTGTCGCTTGGGCAGCAAGTTGTGCGATAAATAAAGGGGATGTTTGTGAAATCAATATGTGGAAGAAGGGTAGGTTGGGGTGCTGGCTGATCCCGTGAGTTTAAAAGTGGTTGGCTAATGCGTTTTATACATTCGCAATTTGGATGTAACCACCGTCAAAATGATGATAGGTAACAATAAAATGAATGAATACATATCAAGAACAACGGGACGCCATGTACGGTGGGGGCTGCGTATTTGTAACGATCACAAAAGTGCCTCAAGACTGGAGGGCCCAGCATTGGTACGTATGTTCGGCTAATTCCTATTTCAGAATTATGTTGGAAATCAGAGGAAACCAATTGAGATTGAATATAATCACCATTGACCATTTTATAATACTGCACTAATCTTTATTTGGACATAACGACCACTGAAAAGGTTTTCACGTTCACTTGTATTCGTCACTTCGGAAAACATTGCCATGTAAAGTACCGCAGTGCAAATGTATGCTCTCACCTGTGGAGTTTATGCAGAGAGCACTTTGAGAGTTTAGATCCAAAGGTTGTATCCCCACCGACCTCCCATGATTAAAGACTACTTTAGTTGGTTTAATTAGAACATCTTAAGTGTAATTTTAACTCCTTTGTAGTTTTAAACAGTTAGCGTTAAAGGGGTGGGTTAGTCATTTTAAGGGTTTCATGCAACTAACTGTTGTGTGACGCCAAGGGGCATGGGGACGGATAGCATCATCTCCCGGTCAGCCTCTACACGTGGGGGCAAAACAATCTCAGATACAGCACATTCTATTTTACCAGTTAAGGCCCACTGAGCTATATGGCTCTTTTTCAGAAGCGGCCTGACCACAAATGATAGCTCCGGCGAAGTGGTTTATAATGTGGAAATATATAGCAGCCAAATACTCTAAAAGTATGTTTCTAAATGTGGAGGGGAAAAAACATTCGATAAAACACTGCCAATCCAACATAAAAGTATAGTATGCTTATGATTAGATTGCCCTTCAGAGCAGAAGTAGCTGCCCTGGGGAATATGGAAATGTTTCACATCCAAATGTTGGTTCATCTCCAAACGTTGTTGATGTGTGTATTTGTATTTATGTTGAACTTATTTCGCACCATACGTAGCCAACCGTGTTAATTGGAGGTACGTATATACTATCTACAGTATATACTGTATATACTGTAGATAGGTTTAAATTTAACATTCGGGAAAATAGACGCAAGTTTGTTATTGGTTGAGTTTTTACCTTTCAACGATCGCCTTTTAATAGATTATTTGGCTATTTAATTTACTTAGATAATACGTTTTTATTTTGTTAGAAAAAAACATTGTTTTTTATATTTACATTGCTCTTAGCTGTAAGGAATTAAGAAACAAAAACTTTCACTTCAGATCTCTTGGTGTACTTATAAGTTTTAATTTAATAAAGAGTGTTTAATATATAAACGATTTTCTTGTAATGTCCCATCCCTACTTTTGCCTTAACTAAGAGATGACGTTGGGCTGTACTGCCCTCTGTTGGGCATCAGAGTAATGTATTCTCAGCCAGTGTCAAAATACAGTCAATGGTTTTATTTTTTTAAGTTTCTGAGTACAGGCGCAGAACGTCAAGTGGATAAGTGGATGTGTTTATCACACACACACACAAACGTGGCCCTGTCATAATGCACAGGTACAGAACCAACAAGATCAACCAGGTAAACTCTCCGAACACTGGCGCCGACATCACCGCGCAGGATGGATCAGACTCAAAATGATGGGGTATCGGTTCATAAAAGGCTATAGAGAGATGATTGGAGGTTCACCGCATCGCAGAGTGTCCGCATAACCCAATTAGACTCCAGGCTGTGGTGTCACCGGGATGTGTGCAGGTGAACGTCTCGCGGAATGGTGAATTATGGAACACACCACTCAATGCAAGGCGTAACCACTGAGATGGAGGAAGACAATGCACACGGTGTGGGGTGGCACGAAATTCAGTGAGCCAGCCAGTCTCATACTGCTGCGTGCATACGTAGCCCGTGCCCACTGTGCCTCGCTCTTCCTTTGCCGTGATATTCATCGAGCGAATAGGGTTGGTTATCATTAAATAACAATGCAATGTCGGTAGTACTCTGGGCGTTGTCTTTTTGTTTTACACGCTTTTATTTAACTCACTGTTGTTGTCGTATCCTCAAATCTTGTAACTCAATTTTAACCCATTTCCCAATGTGGTATCGACTGCAAACTTGGTATACTTATGTCATACTGATGACAATACTATATTATATCATTAAAATAAAAAGATATTTTTAAACCATCTTTTTTATATGTTGTGTTTCGCCTTGGGTCTAATTGTCCACGTTAAACTGACGTTGGCTGTAAATCACCAAGGTCGTTTAGGTTATGGCAAGCTTCGGGGCCACTTCCTGGAGTCGTGGAGTTCTGCCATGACGAATACGGTACATTTAATTCAAGCGTGTTTTTTAAAAAAAGTGTTTTTAAATATTACTTATTTAGTTCTCTGTTGTATCTCTCGCCACCTCTGCGTCACTCGCTCTCTCTCTCTGGAGGCAGCATGCACAGGCAACTTCCCACAGCCAGTGCAACTACTCCACCTCGGACGCCTTCAACCCATTCCAATGACGTACGAACGTGTATGTCATC